GCTCATGCTCACATATATACAGTCGTTAATAATGACCTCCATTAATCGGACAATACCAGTGATTCAAATGTGTGTTATGTCAATAATGAAAAAGACAAGTTATTATGTACCCTTGCCATTACAGAGTTCTCTCCTTTTCGGAGTACTCGATTCCTAGAAATAGTACTCGATTCCAGCTGTACCCGACCCGGATTCGAGTACCCGAATACCCGTCCCAGCCCTAGTGTCAAGCTAATTTACACTTGTTTTCTGGCCTGTTGTTGTTCAACGCCGCAATGAGCAATATTACATCTATGATGGAGGTCTATAAATAATCAAGTCTGAACCAGACAATTCAGTGATTTACAATCTACAAACAATCTACGCAGTCTGGATACAATGACATTCATGTAATAGGCGCCTCCGTCAAGGTAGGTCGCCCAGTAACAGGAAGGTTTATATGGTACAAAGGTTTAATAATCTGATACGGTCTGTAATGGGCTATGTGTTGTGTAATTTTTTATAGATCTGAGAAACTGGAACCTTTCTATAAACCTTAGTGATGGTCCTATGGCGGTTGAAGGTATAACCCAGAGAAATGACACCACAACTCAAGAGTTACCAAATAAATACTACATGTATTTACTTCCTTACAAATCAAACTGAGCCAAACTTAACAAAATAGATTCATCACTCTCTCACACACACAAATGTCCTTATAAGTCAAAACTAAATATCCTAATTACTATATTCCTACAAAATAAATCCTACTCTGTCCTACAACTAAATCTCCCCCTGACCCTTTAACTACATCTAAACTACCATCCTACACAAAATAAGCTAAAATAAATAACAAGTGTTTGCCACTTATTTGGCAATGTTCCCCGCCCGCTAAAGAATGAAATGTTCATAACAAATTTACTTTTTTTTATTTTTTGGTCACATACAAGATGCCTGAAATGACTGGTGTCTGCATATCACCCAATGTAGGCTGTCAACATAATTGAAGACATTGGTGCAATGTTTTATGAGATATCATGTTTACATAAGTTTGAAAAGTGGTCAAAGTGTCGTGGTCATCTTGAATATAAGGTCAAGGTCACCCAAATCAACTGGTGTCTGCATAATCCCCCAATGTAGGCTGTCACCAAATTTGAAGACATTGGGTACAACAGTCCATGAGATATCGTTAACAAGAATTGGGACATACGTACGGTCGGACGCCGCTGAATACATAGTTGCGGCGGGGGACAACAAGGGAAAGGAGGAAGACCTCCCGGTGTTGACTTACTAACGTGTCAGGGTGTCCTGAAGCAAGTCAAATTTTGTACTGAGTAGAAAATTACGATACACCCCATTCCACAAAGAATATTAAACTAAATGCTCCTGTCACTATAATAAACCCAATTTAATACTCTACTACTTCTATAATAAACCCATTTTAATACTCTACTACTTCTATAATAAAACCCATTTTCCTGCATACATCACCAAGTCACTTTGTCTGCCCACCTGATCCTGTTACAGCCCATTTCTAACCCAGATGTCAAAGACTGGTATGTGTGTTGGATTAGGATGGGTGTATGTGATTGCATTCAAGTCAGTCTATCCATTTTTATAATGGAAAGTAATTCCATGTCACAAAAGGGAGGTTAAGCATTTCGGTTTCACTGTATTGAGAGTGAGGTTTGTTGTCCTTGGAAACAAAAATATACCACAACAAATAAAGAATTCTAAGATGCTTCGGTGAAAGATCAAAGGTGTCGACAGCACTTTATCAGACGATAATGTGCACTTTTTGCATTACGTCACAATGTATTGGCGTCACTGTGCCATTCTAGTCTGCCCCCTCGTAATCGAACAATTTTGCATTACGTCACAATGTAAACGACGTCATGATGCATGTCAGATGTCATCGCCTCGTACAGCCTCCTACAGTAAACTACTACGTTGCATCCCGTTTCTTGGGTTGCAGTTGCTTCACGCCGCTAACATCACTGGTGGAAACATTACGTTTATGTTTTCCGACGGTTAAAATGTCTCAATTCGACTCACAAGTTTTCAGCGGCACGGTAACGTTCGCAATGTTTACATTCCCACAATGCAATCGTCGAATGTCGCTTGACTACTCAGCTTCATCTGGATGTGCTGATCTAAACTTATGTTGGTAGTAGAAATGCGACGTTCATATTGCCCCATATGGTTTACGTTAATCACAGACGTAATTAAAATATTTTAGAGAAGATATTTAATCCGAACGTAAACCGTCATCAAACTGTTTATCATTTATTTTTCTGGTAACGTTCGTCTTAACGTAGGGGGCAGACAGATCAATAGAACAGCGCGCCAGTTAGCCCTGTGCAAGGATTCTTAATTTAGGTCACCGACACCGTCGTTTGTTTTCTACCTTAGATTAATAGTAATTATCCTTAGAAAGTATTCAATTTGGCAACTTAGAAAAGAAATACAGTTCGCTCTACCCCCATGTATAGTGTAATAAAGCACACTTTCGCCCTGAACTATTATAACACAAGTGTCCTCGTGCTTTAACTATTAATAGTTCAGGGCCAAAGTGTGCTTTATTACACTTGACATGGTGGTAGAGCGAACTGTATTTCTTAAATAAAAAAAGGATGAACATCTAATAATATATGTCTTGTGGCCATGTTATATAGAAGGTGACTGTGCAGCAGACTTTTGGATTTGAATATTTTAAATACAACTAAATGTGGATGAAAGATGATAATGGTACTCGCTCAAATATCAATCAGTCCAATTTGCAGAATCTGCCATAGATAAACATGTTTGGGCATGGGGACTCATTCAGATAGGGGCAGTGGACTAGCCTGGCAGCTAAAGTGTTTGCTTGTCACCACATATAAAGATATACATATGTGTGATGTCTGTTTCTGCCCTGTTCTGTCATGATTATTGCTGGATTTATACTAAAAGAGGCGTAAAGCAATACTCACTCAACAGTGTGTGATAGTACATATTTGTTTATTGTTTAATACTGCATGTACTCAGTAATATTCCAGCTATATGGCGGTGGTCTGTAAATAATTGGGTCTGGACCAGACAATCCAGTGATCAATAACATGAGCATCAATATTTATAAGCAAATGGGATATGATGACCTTTGTCAACCATGTCAGCAAGCCTGACCACCTGATCCTGTCAGTAATGTTTTTAATGAATTAACACACTCATATATGGACTGACAGACACAACTAAAAAAAGCTGTTGTTTTGGTTCCCGAACAATTGCGCTGTATAATCACTTTTGTGGAAATGTATGTAACAAACTACAGTTTTAACAAACTAAAATTAGGCGTCCCTTAGAGTTAATTATAACCATAGTTAACTTTATATATGCCATGGAGCTCAAAACGAGCCGATTTTTATTAAATGTGTATGTGGACTATTTTCATAACATATTTTTCACACATTAACTAACTTTGTATGGACTTTTGAACCTTGTTTTGTCTATACTGTAATGCCCATTGTTCGCCAGCCAGCAAAGCTTCCAATACCTTGGCAGTTTGGTCCGCGCACTTTGTGGAGATGGTACCGTTAGCCCCAACGGCCTGGGGACCTGTCAGTAGCCCACCCTGGGGACGCAGCACATGGGAATCCTGAATCATTCTGGCAACTTGGGTAATATCTGCCCGTCTCAGGGTCTCCATTGACTCCTTCACCCCCGAGGACAGATCAGGGAGGGGATGTAGACCCCGGGTCAGCATGCTCACATAGTCACTGATACCCCCAACACCACAACCACACAACAACATCACATACAACCAGATGATCATGTTTGTCAATTTCATTCTGTACGTACAAAACAACTAGCAACACTATCCGCGGTGATGAACGCGATCAACAATCACAAACACGAACAATGGCTATCTGCAAGAAATCCTGACACTGTCCAGGTATGTTGACCATCCCACTGTCCGTCTGTATGTGATGTAGTTATTATTGGTCTAAGTAAGTACACCTGACCTGAAACCACCGTGACATGCTCATGCAACACTGACGAGTCTTTCACAACCGATAGGGGGGGAGGTCGTCATTCGGAGGGGCTACACCGGGGTCCGCGCGATCCTGCCATGCAGTTAACTCAAGGAGGCGTGATTATATACTGATCGACTGAATACACCAATGTGTTAGGAATAGCACATAGGCTCCATACAATTCTTTAAAACTGAAAATGTTTGTTTAGTATATAAAGTGACCGAAAGAAAACAAATGCTATGTATGTTTGATTTTCACTGTAAGAGTTGCGTCCCCTACTTCGTCTGCACACAGGCAGGTAGGAGAGATGAGGGTGCCAACCCCCCCTCCGAGTTACACTTGCTCACCCTTGTATTATACACACAAATTTTACACATTTAACACAAATCTCTCAAACCCGTGTCAGAATGCCGATCACAGACAAAAACACGTTCCTGGATCGTAAAAGACTAAACTCATAGCAAATAATTAACGTACGTGTACATCATTTCGTGTTACATGACTAGAATAACCTCCATACCAGACACGAGGTGTTTTGTCTTGCTAACCACACTACTGATTGCCAAATACTCGAGTCCCATGAATCCACAGAGTTGGTAGCTAAACCTGACAAGACGGGGTTTAAGGGATTTCAATTAGAGGGGAAAAGAACATATTTGGATTGATGAAAAGAAAAAAAATGCCAATAAAGTATTCATACACATTATGCATAAATAGCATTTACTCACACATAAGAAATCTATGACTAAGCGTATGTATTTAGATATGAGTGTTTGTCAACCTATCCCACAAAGGTCGTCAGTACGCAGAAACTGAAAGTCAGCATTGAGGGTAGTCTGTCTCACAATCCCTGAACCATTATAAGCCCTTCCGCCCAGACCTTTCTGAAAATGAAGCAAGTCTAGATTTCCTCATTTTCTGAATCTACCTTCTCACAGGGGCTCCTTTTAAACCTAAAAGGAATTATTTGTTTCTATCAAAACTATATATACATTCAGTGAAGATGTGTCAGTCTATATTGACGGTGGAGGCGGTATTTGTGGTGGGGGTTGTACGTGACGGTGGAGGCGGTATTTGTGGTGGGGTACCGTATACGTAGTTCTGACGGTGAGTGGAGGTGGTATTTGTAGTGGGGGTAGTACTGACGGTGGAGGCGATATTTGTGGTGGGGGTTGTACGTGACGGTGGAGGCGGTATTTGTGGTGGGGTTGTACGTGACGGTGGAGGCGGTATTTGTGGTGGGGTTGTACGTGACGGTGGAGGCAGTATTTCTGGTGGGGTTGTACACGGACGGCGGGAGGCGGTATTTGTGGGGCTGTACGTGACAGTTTGTGGTGTATACGTAGTTCTGACGGTGAGTGGAGGTGGTATTTGTAGTGGGGGTAGTACTGACGGTGGAGGCGGTATTTGTGGTGGGGGTTGTACGTGACGGTGGAGGCGATATTTGTGGTGGGGTTGTACGTGACGGTGGAGGCGGTATTTGTGGTGGGGGTTGTACGTGACGGTGGAGGCGGTATTTGTGGTGGGGTTGTACGTGACGGTGGAGGCGGTATTTGTGGTGGGGTTGTACGTGACGGCGGAGGCGGTATTTGTGGTGGGGCTGTACGTGACGGTGGAGGCGGTATTTGTGGTGGGGTACCGTATACGTAGTTCTGACGGTGAGTGGAGGTGGTATTTGTAGTGGGGGTAGTACTGACGGTGGGTGGAGGCGGTATTTGTGGTGGGAGTAGTATTGACGGTGGGTGGAGGCAGTATTTGTCGTAGGGGATGTATTGCCTGTGAGTGGAGACGGTAATTGTGGTGGGGGCAATGTTGACGGCGGGTGGAGGCGGTACTTGTTGTGGGGGTAGCACTGACGATGGGTGGAGGGGGTATTTGTGGTAGGGGTAGCACTGACGGTGAGTGGGGGCGGTACTTGTTGTGGGGGTAGCACTGACGTCGGGTGGAGGCGGTACTTGTTGTGGGGGTAGCACTGACGATGGGTGGAGGGGGTATTTGTGGTGGGGTAGTACTGTCGGTGGATGGAGGAGGTATTGGTGGTGGGGTAGTACTGACGGTGGATGGGGGCGGTATTTGTGGTGGGGGTAGTAATGACGGTGGGTGGAGGTGGTATTTGTGGTAGGGGTAGTATTGTCTGCACATTGGTGGAGAAATAACGAAGATAAAAACTTCCCATTTCAATGCAGCTATATGTTCGATTGACAGTGTACAATGAGGTATATATCACGATTGCACAACTCCAATTCCACTGACATAGAGAGTTCAGAAAGTGGGGCTCATTCGGGTCATTGCTCTGCCCTGTGTTGTATTCATTCACGGGTGCCCAAGGACCTCCGTTACACAAGCCAGCTATACAGACGCGTCACTTCTTCTTACAGTGCGAGTCCCTACTCCACCACCTCAGATATTCCCATATAAGGCTGTTTGACTTATCTATGTATAAGGTGGTATAACGTACAACCCCGACGTTCCCCCAATACAGAAGCGCATACGTGTAGTAACATTATAATATTTATGACCCAACCCTGTTTATATTTTAGAAAATGACTTAAGATTGTTTTCTTATTAATTTACACACCATGACTTCAGACCGCCGGCGTCATCATATACAGATGGAATATTGCTGAGGGCGTCGTTTAATAAGAAACACATTAGGTGTTGCCGATCAAAATATCGAAATATGGAGAACTGACCAGGCCGATTGTCATTCAGTGCCCATTCAAATCCCAAATACGTTTATATAATGGCGTATATTCATTACATGCGAATTCTACGTTTTGGAGTGCGAATGGTTTTGCCCTGCTCCCGGCAACAAGCTGGTTGTATCGCGGCGGGGGACAATAGAGGCCGGGTTTAACCATCCTATGACTCCATGTTGGGAATCGAACCTGCAGTTTCGACGAGACAATCGATCACTTTGATCACTTGGCTACCCAACGACTGCTTTCATGGTTTTGATTGATCAGTCTAAGACTCACTTCAAGCGCCTGTTTTTATATTGTATAGTCTTCTAGTGTTAAGATATTTTAAATTTAAGTACTAGTTTTATATTTCTATCTGTGATAATCTAGTTGTTTTACTGCCCTTCGGTGACAGATATTTATAATTTCCGTTTAATAATTTTAATCTATAACTAGATTTAGTCACAATATGGCTGAAATATTGCCAAAGTCACTATAAATTTTAACTCACTCACTCACGCACTCACTTCAAGCAACATGTTTAACTGTTAGATCTTTGAGTCATCCCGATTTCACCGGCATTGGGAATACTTGGAAAACAGAAGAACACGAACCCAAATGTCAACCCTGGTTAGTCCTCAGCACTATATCATTGAATGTGATCAGAAGTGACTAGATGTTGATTTGTGGCCAGGCACGTCGATTTATTATTACGAGACACAGTACCTCGTCAGTGTTCGACGTTGCTCGTATAATATCCACTACTGTTTGGCTTGTTTTTTTTATGTTTCTTTTCTTTTCTGAACCCGAGTTGTTTAAGGCCAACGTGACACACCTGTAATAATTCTGAATGTGGCGGAAAACAAAAATCACTGATAAAGTCTGTCACAATTTTTTTACTTTTCGCGTTCGACTCAGTCACATCCCAGCTCACCCCCACCCGTGAAGGTCCGGGTTAGAATTGGTCTTCAGCAACCCATGCTTGTCTTAAGAGATCAAGCTCGCTGACTTGGTTACATGTCATCGTGTCCCAATTGCGTAGATCGATGCTCATGCTGTTGATCACTAGGTTGTCTGGTAGAGACGAGATTATTCACAAACAGCCGTCCTGTTGCTGGAAAGTTGCTGGAATGTTGCTGAGTGCGGCGTTAAACAACAGACAAACAAACACAGCTCACCCTACCCGCCACCACCATCTCTATATATGGTTCAATATCCGAACATGAATATTTATGAAGTTGATATGTCTAATAATAACCTCAGTGCCGCCTTAGATAAGTTGCACACGCCCGTGACAACACAGGTCGTGCCCGGCCAACAGCCCCCACACACTTTCAGAGCAGACGCGTATCGCACAGTATATAGCCTACCTTAAGAACGGAGTTAGTTATTATATTCTGAAGTAGTGTGACATGTGATCTGATAATGTTGAACCTGGAAACACGACGATGACCATAACGTGAGCCAATATAGTCCAAACCACAGTATGCGGTGGGGTAGCCTCGTGGTGAAAGCGTTCGCTCATTGAAGACCCGGGTTTGATTCCCCACATGGGTGTAATGTGAAGCCCATTTCTGGTGTCCCCCGCCGTGATATTGCGGGATTATTGCTAAACGCAACGTTAAACCCAATTTACTCACTCACTCACAAAACAGACCAACTATTGATGGTATATCTACTAATGCACAGACCGGTAGGGTTAACGGTCACACGCTGGTTATATGTAAATAGACTCCATGGTCCAAACTTGGCAGGTCAGATGGTCACTGATATTAATGATGTCAGCTTGAGTTCATTGAGATTCTATAGTTGGACACACCGACGAAAAGGAAATTCACTGATGAAAAGAATTACAGAAGATCCTATATGACTAAATTCATCTGTCAGGACTGGTTTCCGTTGCGATTAAATCCAAAATGCTGACGACCTTTACCTTGCTATGAGTAGTGTGTGTGTGAGTGTGTGTGCGTGCCTGCGTGCGCTCGCGAGCGCGTGCATATGTGTGTGTGTGCATGTGTGTGTAACCTATTCTTCTTTGACATTTTGTTTGTATGTAACCTATTCTTCTTTGACATCTCGAACCGAAGCACTTCACATGCAGCCACATGTATGTTCACTATATACACAAGTACATGTATCAGTCTTTCTTTCTACTTGGGACCGTACATAATTTATGGCTGATGGGGGATGGGGGGGGGAGGGATGGGGGGATGGGGGAGGGATGGGGATGGGGAGGGATGTGTGTCATGATGGGATGGGGGAGGGGGAGGGGAGGGGGGGTGGGGTTTGTGTGTCATGATTTAAAGGGGGTCACCCATTTTGTTTTGGGAGGTAGGGGGTCATCAAATTTGTACACGTTTCTAGGGGGTCAGCAATTTTGTACATGAAAATATTTAAAATTTATGCTTAAAAAATTGGAAGAGAGAGGGCGTGACATTGATTTTGTACATGATATGCGGGGGTCACTTACGTTTTACATACATTTTATAAAATCATCTTAAGCACGCGCATTGACATTGTACATGCTTCTCCATAAAAATCATCTTAAAACACACACACACACACACACACACGGCCATAAATTATGGACGGTCCCTAAATATACAGTGTTGTTGACAATACAGATATATTCCTGCTGGACAAGCTAGTTCTACAATATCACTTGTTGAACCTGGTGGATAACACGTACAGATCTATCCCAGCTAGACAGACTAGGCGAGCTATATTACTTGACCTAGCAGTCTGTAAGTAGGCCAGGTGCTTATCGAGTAGAGTTTAACTATATAATGGCATTTGACAATGCCACCAGTGGAGTGCAACCTGCTGTTCCAGTTGCGGTCTGACTGAATAAGATAACGCTTGCACTTTATACTTTGCAAAGAATAGCAGTGTCAGTAAACTTAGGCTCGGTATTATTCGTTACACCGCTATACCAGTCTCAGTGTTATTCGTTACACTGCTATACCAGTCTCAGTGTTATTCGTTACACCGCTATACTAGTGTCGGTGTTTTTCGTTACTTCGCTATACCAGTGTCGGTGTTATTCGTTACACTGCTATACCAGTGTCGGTGTTATTCGTTACACTATACCAGTGTCGGTGTTATTCGTTACACCGCTATACCAGTCTCAGTGTTATTCGTTACACTGCTATACCAGTGTCAGTGTTATTCGTTACACCGCTATACCAGTGTCAGTGTTATTCGTTACACCGCTATACCAGTGTCGGTGTTATTCGTTACACTGCTATACCAGTCTCAGTGTTATTCGTTACACCGCTATACCAGTGCTATACCAGTGTCAGTGTTATTCGTTACACCGCTATACCAGTGTCGGTGTTATTCGTTACACTGCTATACCAGTGTCGGTGTTATTCGTTACACCGCTATACCAGTCTCAGTGTTATTCGTTACACTGCTATACTGAGCCTAAGTTTACTTAGACTTCAAATAATATCAATGTAAATATTGCAGTTGGTGATCCAGTGATTCATGTCAGAGATATCCAGAGTATCTGGATTGGTAGTGCCGCTTCATCGAAATAATGAAAATGATTATGAAATATTTCATTGCAACATTATTACTTGATAATATTGGATCTGCCTTCCAAAGGTATCTTTGCTTCCAGGCACAACAGTACTGAGTCCCGAATACCCTCTGTGTAGACCCCCTGAACATGACGGGTTCGGACAGCCTCATACACCTGAATACGGGTATAGTGTTGTAGACAGCCTTTCAGCATAGGTAGAACTGAGGCATGTGTCACATTCAATGCCTGGCTGGGTCAAAACACTCGGTTGTTTACCCCGAGTCAGGCGATCCGAGCAACACTTGCATACTCAGCTATGCAGTGAGTGAGTGAGTGAGTGAGTGAGTGAGTGAGTGAGTGAGTGAGTTGGTGAGTGAGTGAGTGAGTGAGTGAGTGAGTGAGTGAGTGAGTGAGTGAGTGAGTGAGTGAGGCGAGTCCGTGAGTGAGGAGTGAGTGAGTGAGTGAGTGAGTGAGTGAGTGAGTGAGTGAGTGAGTGAGTGAGTGAGTGAGTGAGTGAGTGAGTGAGTGAGTGAGTGAGTGAGTGAGTGAGTGAGTGAGTGAGTGAGTGAGTGAGTGAGTGAGTGAGTGAGTGAGTGAGTGAGTGAGTGAGTGAGTGAGTGAGTGAGTGAGTGAGTGAGTGAGTGAGTGAGTGAGTGAGTATAACCACTTGATTGCCTTACTGTCACATAAGGTAACAATTCCCTACAGTTTCTTCGTTAGGATATAAAGTGCTGGTTCTAGTAATTCGGGTGATGTTATAAATGAGGTAATTCAAAGAGTCAATAGACTGGAGGTTCATACTGCTTACTACTGAGGTACATGTGGCCGGGTTCATACGACGGGTATCGTTCACGCTGTTATCTACGTCTGGGGCACTACCAGGTCACGTGTCCACCGTCGATCATGGTCACCGTAAAAGGAAGCACCTGGAGCTA